TCTTATTGTTCCAGCATCTTTTCATTAAATCAGCATATAATTTTGGAGTATTAGGTACAATTTTAGGTCTTCTTCCTTAACAAATTCACACGCAACAAATTCTATTACAAACCATAAAACATATAATGTGGGAATACGAGCACCGAACAAAGCAAAGGTAAAACCAGATCGAAAAGGCAAACATATTATGTCTCAAGTTCCTTATAATGAACCAGAGAATAGTTTATTACCAAATCAGCGGAATCGTCCAGAAAATATTTATAACTTGGAACAAAAAGTTGATGCTCTTGGTGCTCAATTAACCCTGATTGAACAAACATTAAATAATTTGGTTCAATTACGCAATACACAAAATAATAATAATAATAGTAATAGTAGTAATAGCAGTAATACACCTCCTCAGACTTCTGAAAACAATAATAATAACAATAGTAATAGTAGTAATACACCTCCTCAGACTTCTGAAAACAACAACAACAATAATAGTAATAGTAGTAATAGCAGTAATACACCTCCTCAGATTTCTGAAAACGATAATAAAGATCATGTTCGTTACTGTACTAAATGTGGTTAGAAGAAACATCTTGATGAATGGTGTAAAGCATGTGAACTTGAATATTTCCAATCCAATTTTGATAAGTGGACTAGCGGAAACAAAGTTATTGATGCCTTTATACAAGAAACTCAACTATTAGCTACCACTAAATTTCATTTCTTAGAGTGGATTCCTTACTCTTCATTAACTAATATTAAATATATTGATAAAGGTGGTTTTGGTGATGTGTACTCTGCAAATTGGGTTGATGGACCGAGAAAAAAATGGTGTGCTGACAAAAATGACTGGGGAAGATACTCAAACGTTGACGTCGCGTTAAAAAGTTTGTCAAAACTTAAAGATGAAGACTTTACCACTGATCTTTTTGAAGAAGTACGTATTATTGTTTCGTTCTCTCAAGAAATATGGAGTATGGTGTGGCATTTTAAGTTGATCATAATGTTAAATGTCACATCAATATCCACTTTTTGGTTTTAATTTATTAAAGACATATTATATTTACATAATACCTTTTAATAATATTTTTCAAATTTCTTTAATTTCTTTGATTTCTTTGATAGCTCAAATCTCACTTAACGTCCAACAACCAGGTGTCAGGTCGATTTACCACTTTACGCACCTATGGCATGACTCGTGATCCTAAATCAAAGGCCTACATGATGGTGATGACATTAGCAGACTATGGTGACTTATCGGCATACTTAAAAAAAGAATTTTCTACACTCTCTTATATTCATAAACTCGAGATTCTTTATGACATAGTTACTGGTATTTGTCAGATTCATAAGTCTGGACTTGTGCATCGTGACTTACATAGTCGTAATGTGATGTGTCAAGGAATAAAAAATAGGAGTCTAGGCCGTGGTGAGATCAATCGATTTGTAATTGGTGATTTCGGCCGGGCGATTCCACTAAAGAAAGATGACAATAATGATGTGTGTGTGTATTACCTTATATTGCACCAGAGGTCTTACGTAATGAACAATATACCAATGCAGCTGATATATACAGCTTTGGCATTCTTATGTGGGAAGTCTCATCTGGTTTAAGACCTTTTGGTGATGTTAAACATGATTTCTTTTTAACGGATCAAATTTGTTCAGGAAGAAGACCTAAAATTGTACCTAATACTCCAAAATTATATGCTGATTTAATGAAAAGATGCTGGAACAATAAGA